GGTCTTTACCAAATCAAAATTAATTTTATGATTTTGGTTATTGTAGTTTTTGATTGAGTGAAAGTAGTGATGGCCAAACCGGCCCGGGACTATCGGAGGACCAGAACCAGGACCGGCAAAGGACTGGTTATAGGACCACAAACCGGGACCGGTTATGGTTTTGGAAGGTTTCGAGAGACCGGCCCGACCGGTTTTTAAAAAGGTAGCCGTTTTTAAAAAAAAAACATATAGCCGTTATATGATCGTTTATAACCTCTTTTGGTCTTTTTTGTCTTCTAAACTCTATATATAAGTGTCATGGATGAAGGATTTACATACCAATGATGAATAAGTGTATTTTCAAATAATTTTATAATGTATTTTTGGAAGACAATGCAATTTTAATTATAATAAAACACATTTTTAAACTGTATTTAAGTGACCCAATTACAAGTTTTATAATGTATTAAAAAAATCTATCATTAAAAAAATTTAAAAATTATTTTTTTTTTGGTCGGGATTGGGACCGGGATCAGCTAACTATAACCGGTTATAGGAATGCTTAACCGGGCTTAGTATTTTCGACCGGAACCAGTTATAACCGGCACTGTTGAAGCCCGAGACCAGTAAGGACCAGTCCGGCCTGAGACCGGTTTTTGTCCATCACTAAGTGAAAGACAACAATATCTATAAAATGAACAAAAACTCCCTCATTAAACTGAACTTTTTAACGATCGTTAGAGGAAGAGACCAAATATGAACGTTTTTGCTATGGCTATTTTGAAATTTCAAAAATGTAAGGACTAAAAATGTAATTATTAACAAACCACATATGTCAAATTTGTAGCTTACTCTTCACATAATTGAAGTTTACTTTCAACTTTAAGATCTAAATGCACTTTACTTCATATTTAAAGGACTTAGAAAAAAACCAAATGAGTGTTATTTAAATCAATTAATTTAACTTTAATGAGTCATAAAAATGCGTTTTAATATCATATTCATCCATTAATTGCGCTTTATAAAGGAATTGATCTGGTGCATCTCAGTTCACCTCATTAATGTTGATATTCAGTTACCATTAATCCAAAGGTGGAGATCTTAATTTTCTTTGTCACCGAAAATCGACCTTAAGTTTTAAAAGACATATCATGATGACAAAGATACATCTCCTGGTTAACCCCTTTGATGGTTGTTTAAGGCAAGTCATGTTCAACCATGATCCAATTCACAAGCGAGTTATGTCTTATTAGTCTTTTATGTCTGATTAAGATCATTTAGACTGTTTGTTTTTTCCAATTTTTTAGAGGTACTTATATTTTATTGTCCTCTTATATGGTAAGAGGTAAACCAACCTCTTATTTGCTTCTTATTGTTCTTGAAACCTTTAACAACGGGGTTTCTCAATCGATTAACCATAATCGATCATTTCTCTCAAATCTCAATTGAGCATTACCAAATCGATCATCACATCTCTCAATTGGTGTATTTTAATAGGATTTAATGTGTTAAACATCGGTAATAGCATATTTTCATTTAAATGAATGCTAATTATATAATTTAAATATTAGTTTCGTAATGATGATGAATAAATATGTGAAATTGTATAAATTTCTATATAAATTCAATATTATAATTTTTTTATCGGTAAAATAGACAATTTAAACAACTTCAGACATTTATCAGTTTATAAAAACAAATAGTCTTGTTGATTCAGATTTCAAATTTCAGCACAAGCTCTTATTAATTAGAAGTGAAATAAGACTTCAGACTTCAGCACCTCTTAAAAAACAAACGCCATATCAATCTAATATTTTTTTTCTCATTTTATACAACCCTTAGGCTATGGTTGGCAAATTAGCTGATAAGTTAACTAATAATTGATAAATTAACTGTTAGCTGATAAGCTAACTAGTAGCTGACGAACAAATGATATTTGACAAAACTAACAGATAAACATGTAAAAAAACCAAAAAAAAAACATCTTGAAAAATTAGTCAATTACAATATTTTATAATATAATTAAAACAAATATTTAATAGTATAATATGTTAATTAATACAAACAAAATAGTAAATAAAATATACAAATAATATAATATGTTAATTTAAAAAATTTAAATTAATTATTATATATATTATAAATTTTGGATTTGCTTAAATATGAGACTCGATTTGTGTATCAGTATATATTCATCAGTATTGTATGTTTTATAAAAGGTATTAAAGTGAAATCTTATTTCACTTTTTATTGATAAGAGATAATATTAAAGTATAAAGTATAATAAAAAAGATTATTTATTTGATAAATATCTAAAAATAAATACAATTAATCCTATTTGATTTAGAGAAAAAAACAAAGAATATTGTTTTTATTATGAATATAAATTTATATTTAAGTAATTAATTATTTATGGAAAAGAATAAGAAAAGAAAAAACTATGAAGATGGAAGTTAATGAGAAGAAAATAAGAAGTGAGTTAACTTCTTGTCTAATAAAAAAGGCAAGAAATTTTAAGGATGGGTTTGGTATCCAGATATAATTCGGTGTAACAGAATAGAAAATAATAGTTGTTTAACGTTTAGTAAGACATTACTGGTAAAATGACCAATTTAAACCATAAGGGTGGTGCCTGATTGGTTTGAGTTTGGCTTCAAAGGTCAAAAGTATTTGCAGGTCCCGGGTTTAAATCCAAAGAGAAATAAAAATCTCATTTTGGCTACGGAGATTCAAATACGGTGACTTCGCTATCTGCAAAGCAGGTGGTCACCCTGGGACTAATCGACTCACATAGCGGGTTGGATATACAGGTTAATAAACAAATGACCAATTTACCTCTAATAAAATTATAACAAAAATATCATTAGAAATTTTTAATCAATACGATTAAAATGACACCAAAATATGAAGTTATATAAATCCCAAATTTTAGTAAACTTTTTCTATATTATTATTATTATTTAATAATTTACATAAAATAACCAAAATATATAAAAATAATATTTTAAGAATAATAAAGTGAAAGCTTAAAGAGTATAAAATATAATAAATAAAATTTTAAAAAATGAATAAAATGTAAAGACAGAGACGTATTTATTGTTTTAGAAGAAAATTGTGTTTATTTTGAGGATATATTGTTAAAATATAGGCTTGTTCAACCTTGGTACACGTTGTTCCATGAGGTGGGAGTGGAACGTACCTCTCGACTTTGTTCCACTGTGTTACTGTTTGTTTCACATAAAAATCATATCAAACGTGAAATAGTGATCTATATTATGTTCTGTCATATCATATCAAGTATACCAAACACACCCGACTTAAAATATATCGACAACAACGTATTAAATATATAGAATTTCATTTTCTTTTTTCTTTTTTATATTTCTTATATAATTATTATATGTATTCTTTTTCTAAGAAACCTTTAATGATTTTCAAGAATTATTGACGAAAGTTGTAGAAAGTGTTTCTATCTTACAACAGATGCTAAATGGACATGCTTTTGTCCCAAACAAATCCATCATTAGTAGATCTTATCACTGATACCATGTTAAAATATATTGAACCCATAATATTACTTTTTAAAAAAGACCTTGAAAGTACAAAGAAGAAAACAGAACATAAAGTCTACAACCAGCAGCACAGATCGAAACCAAAACAGACAATAAAACCGAAGAAACAAGCAAAACCAAAACGCAACAAGAAAGCACCCGACAAAACCCCACCACCAAAAACAACCGCAAAAGTGAAACAAGCATGCCGCAAAACAAAAAGGGCACAATATTGAAAAGCTGAAAATGGTCATCAAATCACAGCAAACCCCCTACGATCCTACAACCGAGCATACTTACCATTAAACATTTGTCTCTGTTATCTCAAAATTCACCATCATTAATGACATTATCCTACTAATAAGACGAAAATGAATCATTATTTTATTCAGGGGTGTTTGGGATTGCTTATAAAAAAACAACTTATCGAGTTATTTCGGTATGGCACCAGTAATAAGCATTTTTGGGTGTTTGGATAAATAACTTATACTGGTGTTAAACCAATAATAAAGAGTTTTTGAAAAAGTTAAACCCTTTTGACTTATAATAAGTTGATAAATTGTTTGAAATATTTAATATTTTTCAATGATATGAAAGGAATGAAAGAATTCTGGAAAACCAACGGCTACATTGGACATACCCTCAACAACCAAAACCAAATGTTCGAAAAGGTGTAATCAGCCAAACAACCAAATGACAAAGATTGATTATATATAAAATTCAAATTTAAATTAAAAAGCTTTCTATTTTGCCGGCCATGGCTGTCAGATTTTACTTTCTGAAAGTGAAACCCTTGCATTATTACCCTAAAAACTTCCATTTCATCGATCAAAAGCTCCATTCATGGCGTCTGAAATTACAGCTGCTGAAGAAGAAGATGAAGATTCATACTTGATCATCAACAAAGAAGCTCAAAAGGAAAAGATCAGACAACTCATAAAGCACCAGAAGAATCGGTATCAATCGTCATCATCATCTTCTTCTTGTTGTTCTTCATCTACATTATCTTCAACAAGCGCTGCTTTATGTTCTTCGTTTTCATCGTCCGATCAAAACCAAAGTCGGAAACTGTTGAATTTGATGAAAAGAGGTAGCACTTCGTTGAGGAGATTGTTCGATATGGAACATACAAGTTTAGGTAATCATTTTGACTTTTACAGTGGCTCGCCGGAAACCAAAACTATTCCGTTATGGGGTAGTGATTCCGATGACGACGGAGTTCACGACGATCCATGGATCGGTATAACGAAACTCGACAAAGGGTTTGTTCAAGAACAAGAAGAAATCGAAGAACATCAAAATCACGAAGAACATCAAAAACATGAAGAACATCATGCAACAAAAACGATATCGAAACTTAGAAATCAGAAGTTGACAAGAACGAAATCGTTTAGCAGATTGCCAAGCTTCTATAGGTTTAGATTTCGGTTTCGATTGAGATCGAGGCTTAGAATCATGATCTGTGGAAGAAAGTTGTGATTTGTATACACCAAAGTCTTGTTATTTACATCAAAAGAGAATCGAAGTTTTGTGAAATGATCATGAAATGATGAACAAAGTGTCTGAATGATTAAGTCGTTGAGTTTTGTTGAAGAATTTGCAAATGACACAGTGATCAGAGATTAATCTCGCCATGATGCTTTCTTCTTCTATCCTAAAGCTTCTACTTTGTTTATTCCAGAGATGAACTCCATAACTCGACTCTCTTATTTGCACCACCTTCTTCTCCACCCATCTCCGGTGGCCCTGGTTCACCGGCCGCCGGAATAACCCACCGATACGAGTCCAATCCACCGGATAAAACGCTAATGGCGGTAAAACACTGAAGTTAGAGTAATCTGATGTTCTTGATTCTCTTTCCACCACTCTTGAAACAAGGTAAGGTCCATTGAAACCCCATTTGTTTCCATTAAAAGTCAACGCGAATTCTTCGATGAATTTGTACAACAATGGATGGTTTTTATCGAATATCAAAACTGCGTTGTTTAATCTCGTCCAGTTACCAGATGGGTTTGCGCTTTGTGCTCCTATCGAGTTCTGTAAATCGCTGAAATCTTTCAAAGGGATGAAATCGGTGTCGAGATAAACACCACCATATTTGTAAAGAACCACGAGTCTGATGAGATTGGAAAGATTCTGAGCTAATGGGATTTCACCAGGATCTCGATTCCCATTCTTGATATGAACGAACCAAGATTTCGCCGGAGTGTTTTCGAACAAGAAATTCAAGTCCGGTGTGATCGCCTGAACCCTAAACCCACGATCGACGATGGGTTTCAAGATTCTAAACCCATAAACGATATCCATTATCGTGGTCGATAATATCATCAAACAACTATCTGGATTCGATTTAAACAAAGCATCGACAGCAAGAAACTCTCGTTCACCAAAAACCCTGAACGGCGACGATATCCACGTCATGAAGAATCGAACTTTGCATTCCTTAAGAAACTCTCGAGCTCGAACTTCGAATTCTTTGTTGGATTTCAAGATATCGAATTCGGGAAGCTTGTTCTTGAACCAACTGATTCTTTGTTTCTTGGTGAGATTGATGGGTGGAAGCAGTGGGTTCTGAATCTGATCAGATTCTCCGACGATGACTTCTTTAACGATCAAAACGGGATCATGAATCGTTGAAGTCGATTTCAACTGATTGACTATGAATGTTTGATTCTCCAACAGATGAGATTGAAGTGGGATTATGTTCTTGGTTGTGAAATTAAATGAAATATTGGAAATGAAAGTGTTTGTATTGAACATGTAGGTAAAGATGATTGCTATCAAGGAGACGGTGGTGATTATATGGAATTTGGTCCGCCGGCTGCGGCTGCTCCGCCGTTGCTCCGCCGTTTTGGAAGAAGAAACTTTTGTCATTATTAAAAAAGAGGATATTGATGGTGGATTATGAGGAATTAGGACTCCATAATCGGATTGATTCAGAGGAGGTTCTCGAATCTTTTATCTGAACAGAAGAAGATTGTTGACTTTTTTTTCGCATAGTCGTCGCGCTGTCAGGGTGTTTGGTGTAAGGATCGGCTGTGTGAAGGTTCATGGTAAGGATTGGAAGGTATGCCAAATGGTGGAGAAAGGGGTGAAGTGAGCCAATGAGATTTGAGGAACAGTGTTATTAACATGTGGGCAAATGCAGGCGATCATTAGGCCAGGCGCCAAAGCCTACGTGCAAGAAGCTATGTTGTGGGTCCCGCAAGCCAAGCGGACATGAAATCATTCAAGCAGCTCTAAGGGTGTGTTTGGTACGCAGACAGGACAGAACAGGACAGGACAGGACAGAACAGAACAGAACAGGACAGGACAGGTGTTCAGCGTTTGGTAAGACATAACAGGACAGGACAGAACAAGACAAAACTGGTTAAAATGACCAATTTACCCCCAGTGACATTTCAAATACATAACTACATATCACAACACAATGAACAATGAACAATCCTAAGAACCCTAAATCAAACATTTGAGTGAATTACGTCTAATKAACCAAAATTACTAGTTAAAATTCACATTTAAGCCTCGAAAATAGAAAAAAATTGAAACAAAATACATGAATTTCCYAATTCAAGCAGTAACAAATTTCCTAAATCGAAACAAAAACCCTAAACAAGATAATATTCAAATTCAAGCAGAGGCCTGCTGTGGAGAAGACAAGCGAGAGAGATAGAGATAGTTTTACCTTAAAAAAAGATGGAGGACACGGTGGAGATGGAGGCAGAGGCCGGCTGTGAAGAAGACGATAGAGATGGAGGTCTGCTGTGGAGGAGACGATGGGGATGGAGGTCTGCTGTGAAAAAGCTGTGAAGAAGACGATGGAGATGGAGGTTCGTTGTGAAGAAGACGATGGAGATGGAGGTCTCCTGTGAAGGAGACGATGGGGATGGAGGTCTGCTGTGAAAAAGCTGTGAAGAAGACGATGGAGATGGAGGTCTCCTGTGAAGAAGACGATGGAGATGGAGGAGGCGGTGGCTTGAAGAAGACGATGGAGATGGAGGTGGCGGTGGCTTGAAGAAGACGATTGAAGAAGACGATGGAGATGGAGGTGGCGGTGGCTTGAAGAAGACGATGGAGATGGAGGTGGCAGTGGCTTGAAGAAGACGATGGAGATGGATTGAGACGGTAGATGGGTATTAGATTTAGGGTATATTTGTCAAATAACTCTTGTTCCACTTAGTTCCAGGGTGAGAGGGTGAACAAGTCTGTCCCATGTATGTTCCACTTAGTTCCACTTAGTTCCATTTAGAAACACACCAAACATGGGACAAGTGTGTCCTGTTCTGTCCTGTCCCACTCTGTTCCACGTACCAAACGCACCCTAAATGGTTATGTATTTTGTTCGGTTAACTTTTTTTCAAATGGGTTGTTTCGTTTATATTTTTATTAAAATTTATATCGATAAAATTATTTGTATTAATAATAAATGTCTATATTGTTTAATACAAATTTGTGTTTAATTATTATGTTGAATAAAGAGTCTGAATGTCAAAAATTATCATTTTATCCCTAAGTTCATTTTTTAAAGATATCAAACTCATATCAGAACAATTTCATTCTCAAAAATATCAAGCTCTAATATATTTTTTGAATCCTAAAATCTTTAAATTAATGTATATATGTATGTATGTATGTATACATGTACGTATGTATCATGTATATATATATGGTGAAGGTTCAAACGAGAACATTTCCATTTCACGAGAACGTAAAAACATTCTTATCACATGTGATAATACGCGTAAGGGGACCTTGTGGCGTGCGGACGATGTGTTCTACGACTTAGACTCTGAGTCTATGATTTAGTATCACATGTGATGGTCTTGATGGATTATAGTATCATATCAACAATACCTTTATCACATGTGATAATTCTTGTGAGGGGGATTAGTGGTCCGTAATCAAGACCGTATCGAAAATCGTCTGAGTCTCTGATTTAGTATCATATGTAATTGTCTATAGTAAAAAGGTGTTCTCACGTTCTCATAAAATAAAGATGTTCTCGTTTGAACTCTTCTCATATATATATATATATATATATATACACATATATACGTATATACATATATATATATATATACGTATATATATACACATATACGTTTATACATATATACATATACGTATATATGTATATGTATGTGTATATATGTATGTATGTATGTGTATATGTGTATTGTATGTATGTGTATATGTGTATGTATGTGTATGTGTATATGTATGTATGTGTGTATATATGTGTGGGGTTGGGTTCACGTGAGACCCGTAAGACCAATTTATGTTCATTGATC